TGCTGAAAGAGCCTGAAAGCATACATAAAAAGGAAAGATTTGGTTTATTTGAACATGTAAACACTCCATATTTCTTCTAGTAACATTACTTCTTCAGGTCAGCTTTTCTGAGCCTTTGCCGTTTTCAACTCAGTTGTGTTAGGCTTCGCTGCATTTCCAGTACCCTGGCTCTGCCAACAATAGACTTTCGGGAGCTGCTGGCTCCTCAACTTTCTTTAGGCACAGCCACAGCCTTTTGCAGCCTTCAGGGGCTTTTTAGCAACAAGCACCTTCAACGGTTTTCATGGTTTTCTCTCAAATCTCCAGTTGTTGAGCTGGAAAGAGCCAGAGATGCCTGTGCCTTTGCTCACCAGATACTCAATGACAAGAGCCTTAGTGCTTCTCCAGACCATGCCCAATGCCTGCCAGAGCTTTCAGTGCTCCTCAGCAACGAGCTCTCGTGCCCATACCCAAAAGCCCAGGAGGGAATGAGAAGCAGCCCACAGGCTGGAGGGCACTATTCTGAGAGGTGTCTTCACTGCAAAGCTAAGTTTGGTGATGAATACCTAAGCCAGCCTCAGCCAGGTACGAAGAGCCCCACTGTAATGCCCTACCCTGGTTACCATGTCGCTATCGGCACTGCACTCATAAGAGAGTTTTGCTAACAGCCTTCAAAATCACATATTCCTTGTTGCGGCTCAGAGATCCCTTTCCTAGACTATTATGGAGGAAAACACTCCTCCAGGTTCCCAACAGGACTGAGGGGAAACAACTAGAAGATCACCAGCACTCAGATAACAACAGGGAAAAACAAGCACCTTACCTACCCACTTCTGTGGGAAAATGGCACTCGCCTTTCAGCTAACAGCTCCAGATGAATCAGTCTGAAAACACGTCTGCAATGGAGACAGCCGGAGATTGTAACCGCAGCTGGTTTGGGGAAGCAGGTGCTGATGATTCCAGGACCACAGAAGAAGAGCCACCCAAAAAGTCCTGCTCAGCCACTAAATCACTCTTTTAAATACCAGCCATTTCTAGCCACTTACACATATTTCCAGGAAATCTCTACAGTAACTCAGAAGAACCATCTGCCTCCAGAGCTGATCACAGAGCAGCACAAGTTACTGATTACAAATGTCCAAATGTAACTTCCACACAGCAGAACTACTGTCAGCATTTATTCACTTCCTTAAGGCTTATCATTAATAATTTCAAGCTTGAAGTTTTTAATGGAACTTCTACTTTATGCATTCCACAGTGAAAGTAATTTTTGAGTGCTTGCCAAAGTCGTATTTAAATATCACTGATTTCAGTTTTTACCACACATATAATAAAAAAGGGATGTTGGTATTACTCAGGCTTTGTATCCTACTTCCTGATTCCCTTGCCTTTGTCTCACGGTTATTTCATACACTTCTCACTGAGGCAAGGGCTAGTTCTCTCATAATATACGTTTATCATATTAGCTTAAAATTAAAAGATATTACAAATAATGTGACAACCTAAAGAAACTACACCCTTTCCCAGACATTAGTATCTCACTACAATCAAAAAGTTCAACAATTAAGAAAATAAATTCTTTTATGAAATAAATTTGATCGCCAAGCAAAACAGAAGGTGCATTCTAACTGGAAAATTAGGGAAAAAAAATTACTAGTACGGGTTATTCAGCTGTTCAGCCTGGAGAAGAGAAGGCTCTGGGGTGATCTTATAGCAGCTTTCCAGTACTTAAAGGGGCCTACAGGAAAGCTGGAGAGGGGCTTTTTACAGGGATGTGTAGTGGTAAGACAAGGGGCAATGGATTTAAACTGAAAGAGGGCAGATTTCCATTAGATATAAGGAAGAAATTTTTTACATTGAGGGTGGTGAGGCACTGGCACAGGTTGCCCAGAGAAGCTGTGGATGCCCCATACCTGGAAGTGTTCAAGGCCAGGCTGGATGAGGCTTTGGGCAACCTGGTGTAGCAGGGGCTTTCTCTGCCCATGGCAGGGGGGTTGGAACTAGATTATCTTTAAGGTCCCTTCCAACCCGAACCATTCTATGATTCTATTCAATGTTGAATTAAATTTTCAATCATGCGCGTATTAAAAGCAAGAAGTAAAGACAAAACACAACGCACTGGAGTAAGACGTTTTGCAAGTCTGCATTAACTGGCTGTGATACCATGGTCCATTTCTTCACTTACAGCTTTCATGTGAAAACGTTTTCCCAACACCTACAAAAGAATCAGGAAAACTCAGCAACCGCAACACAGAGCACGTCCAGTTAGGTCACTGCCATAGCCACCAGGCTTCCTTTTCAAAAATCATGAATGACTAAGTTATCCAAAACTGTTTTGAAACAATATTCTTCAGATTCTTCTTAGTATTTTTGATCTTTTAGCAAGCAATCCAGCCAAAATCCGTGCTTCTCCAAGCACATCATCACCCCCAAGATGTCACCACTGGAAATCAATAAATTACAACACTTTGCAGAACACAGGAGAACCACTTTCACGCCTCATCCTCGGAGATGAAGTATTTCTGGCCATGCATTACAGTGTTCATACAAAGGCTACAAAATGCCCTGCAAGACAGATGTTCCCTACCTCTGTAGAAGAATCTGACCAAAGCCACAGCTGGGGAAAAGCAACAAAGAGGCAGAAGGTGCTAAGAAGAGATGCCAGTCCCAGATACAGAGAAACTGGGACAACAACAGATGGTCAAAGGCTGTGGTCTTTATTGTGTAGGATATCCCACATCTTCTCAAAGTGAACATATTCAGAGCACAAACATCTACCAATATAATGCCATCATTGCTAAAAGCCATCTTAACTGTTAGTTTGATCACCAGATCCAAAGGCTGAGAGATGAAATTATAAAAATTCCACTGGGAAATAAGAGAGAACACTTCGGCAGCCTCAGTAATTAACCTTTGGAATAAGTTGGGTAAATTCTCCACAACCGGCACTCTAAACTGGCAGGCTGCTCAAAAGGGCTTCCTTTCACTCACACCATTTACAGGATTCAACATATCAGAGAGAAAAATGTCCTTCACTACAGAAAAATGCTATTTTGGATAAAACAAAGACTTGACAATCAGTTTTATATTCTCTAAAAAACAGGAAAATGAGTTGGCTTGCTCAGGTGCCTTGTCCCTGCAACATGCTGAGCACTTCAGCACCTTCAACACATTTATCCTCACACCTCCCATTTTCCAGATGAGCAACTGTATAAGAGTGACCATCTCAGACTCACAAAGGAGGACTATAGCAGAGCAGAGCATCAAACTCAATGCTCCAGAAGCCCCATCCTCACCTTTCCAATGACACCACTT